CTCCAGCCGAGATGAGGTCGGGTTTCTACAGCCCGTACTTCATCGTACCCAAGAAAGACGGTGGGTTACGACCGATCCTGGACCTGCGCGTACTGAACCGGGCCCTTCACAAGCTCCCATTCAGGATGTTGACGCAGAAATGCATCTTTCAATGCATCCGTCCTTTTGATTTATTGCCAGTTGTTTTACTCCCTGTCCGAGGGGACCCTCGGCACGGATGCACTGGCGTACAGCTGGCCTCGGGGCCTACGCAAATATGTGTTTCCTCCAGTGAAATCCTCCGCGCCCTCACCTGTTACCCTCTTGGGATCTCCCCTCGGTCCTGACGGCCTTGAAGGAGGAGCCCTTCGAGCCTCTGCAGTCAGTAGAACTTAAGTTTCTGTCGTTGAAGACAGTGCTCCTCACTGCCTTGGCCTCGGTCAAGAGTGTAGGGGACCTGCAGGCATTTTCGGTCGATGATTCGGGCCTAGAATTCGGAACGGGTAACTTTCACATTGTCCTGAGACCCCGGCCTGGATATGTGCCCAAAGTTCCCACCACGCCTTTGAGGGATCAGGTGGTGAACTTGCAAGCGCTGCCCCAGGAGGAGGCAGACCCAGCCATTGCTCTGCTCTGTCCCGTTCGCGCTTTGCGCACTTTGGGTTCTTGTGAGACTCCAGAATCAACTTCTCACTCAACACTGCACAAGTCAGATGATTCTGCATCGGTCTCCTCATTGGAAACTGATGACACTGTCCTTTTATCTTCCCCTGATCCTTCTCCTGGGTCAGTGCAATCCATATCAAGATCTACCACGTGGCCACTTGTATTCCCGATTCCACGCTTCTCCTATGACTCCGAAATAATTCTAGGACAAGCCAATGCTGAATACCATGCCAATGGAACTCGTCTTAGTCCATCTACAAAGCTGAAATCACACATTCTAGAAAGCCTAGCTGAGGAAATCATCAAATTCAAAGCATATCCAACCGATGTAGACCTTAATGCAGTGGCAGAAGCATTGATCAATAAACACCCTTGCTTACGAGAGCAAGGCTCGTACAATGGTTGCTATGGGTGGAAAATAAGCCTCAAGTACAAGATGGCAAACTTTCGTACCAAGCTCAGAAGTGTCGGGTGTTCTGAGGTAAGCATAAATTCATTAAAGAACAAACAGCAAGATCAGTGCCACGCTGCTTCAAATATTAAGAAGCCTAGAAGAGCAGAAGTGAATTACTGCCCTCAGCATCCGAAGGGAGAAACTTCTGACAGTCTGGAGAAGGAACGAGTTCAGCTTTTGACAGAGATCAGAAAAAGAAACAATGACAAAATAGTCAAAGAGAAGATGGAAAGAACCTTTTCATACAGAAGACAGGAAGTGGTTCAGAAGAAGCCAATGGTAGCAGAGTTTAAAACTCGATGGCCAGCTCTCTTTAATGTTGATGAAGTAAGTGTTTTTATTTTTTCCTTTAAATATAGACAAGTTCATTTACTTGAGTTTGTTAAACCTGAAAAATTAGAATAGCCAATGTACTTGACTTTTTTTTGCTTTTTTAACAGATCAATAATGAATTCATGCGAATTACAACAGTCCCACTGCAGTTCAAGTTTCTTGGTATGCTTGACAAATATTCAAACAGCTTGATGAAGATTTTTCACACTAAGGGCGGAGTCAATGGCCGAACAATAAAAAACATCATGCAACCCATTTCTCAGTTTGGTACATACATGAAAGTTATACACAGCATTTGGTTATCAGTATTGTAATGTCTGAGTTGTTTAATTAGTGTTTTGTGACTTTTGTTTTTGCAGACTAACAGCATAGATGTGCGAAGAGAATGCATCCTCAAAGCATTGTGTGTGTTCTTGAATGAGGACCCTGTACAGCTTTTCAAGGAGTAGCCTATGCTGTAAGCAAATGCTTATGTATATCTTTCATCTACTTCTCTTTCATTCTCTGTACTGTGTTCTTAAAGATTAGTTGTTGTACAAATGCAGCAGATTTTGTTTGTTTTGCACAGGATTGCGATTGGTTGAGTGCCAAAGAAGCCATGAAGCAGACATTAATGGTGATCTACACATGAAGGACATGACCTAGTGGATCAGCCTGTGGATGTTAGTGTTGTGATTGAAGGGACTGAGGTTCTTAGCTCTTTGAGGAATGCAGCTGTAAACAGTGGCCATGTTATTTAGACTCATTTACGCCTTGAACCTTAGCTACCCACGGGAACTCAAATCTACATTTGAGGTCATCCAGAAAGTGTTCTTCAACCTGGATGGACACAGACTATCACCAAAGGTGCAAACCCTGAAGAACAAGATATTGGAGTAAGGTGATCCTGTTCTAATTTGTTCTGAGCTCAACACTGAACAGAAATTGGCGTTGTTGTTTTTTTCTCTTTAACAGTGTTTTTTGATTGTATGTGGACAGTGGTTGACAGTCATTTCATTCAGGTACATGCAATATCAATATTGTTAATTTTTAGTTTTGGATTGTAGTTTGTTTCTATGTTTTACTAAAAATGTCAACCTAGCTGAAACTTTAAAACTACTGCTGTAGTTGATTTAAATTGATTTTAGAAATACTGGATTTTTACTAAATCTATCTTGTTCTAAGATTATATATCTTGTTCTGAGATTGTAGCTCAAGACTAAGCATAAATTGGTGTTTTTTTCTCGTGAATTTAGTAATTGTCAGTTATACGTTCACAGTGGTTGACAGAAAATGTATTACATGCAAAATCCAAATTCTTAATCTTAAATTTTTTGGGATCTTAGTTAATTTCTTTGTTTTACTTAAAGTAATTGTCAACCTCGATGAAACTTAAAACTACTACTAGTTGCTTTAAACTGATTTTGGAAATACTGGATTTTTTATCCATCTTGTTTTAAGATAATAGTTTTGAGATTGTAGCTCAACACTAAGCACAAATTTGTGTTTTACTCTTTAACAGTAATTGGAAATTTTACGTTAAAAGTGGTTGATGAACATTTCATTTAATTGCATGCAATAGCAATATTGTTAATCCTCTTTTTCTGGTTTTTAGTTTATTTCTTTGTTTTACTAAAAATATTTGTCAACCATGCAGAAACTTTAAAACTACTACTGTAGTTGCTTTAAACTGATTCTGAAAATACTGTATTTTTGAACTATCTTGTTCTAAGAAAGTTTTGAAACTGTAGGTCAGCGCTGATCAGTAATTGCTGTTTTTGGGTTTCACTTTTGACACTGGAATAAAGAAAGACTTGAGACATTCACATTGAGCATTTTATTTGTACATTAAAATACATTTTGTTAGAAATAGCAGTAATTATAAAATGGTTTAAAGTAAAAAACATTTAAATGAAAACATTTCTGGTTGTTTAAATTAAGTGGTTAAAATTAATTGGCTCAACAAGACTAAATTGTGAACAAGTTAAATCCAGAAGATAATTCAAACAAAAAAGATTTAATCTCATTGGTTGAAGATGATTTTTGCTTTTGGGTTCTATTTGCCTGGATTAAGTTGAGATAACATAATTCAAATGCGTGGAAATGTGCAGTTGAAATCATCAACATCATCATGTTTGACTCCACTGAGGTCTTTTCCAGAGAAGATCAGCTCATCTGAGAGCAGCTGTGTGAAACTCTTCAACCACAAACCAGCATCTCCACTGTTCACTTGAACATGTCCAGCAGGAGTTTAATGTTCTCTGTCATCTTGGAGAAACACTGACACTGAACTTATCAGTGATGTACTGACTGACTTCTGAAGTGATCTCTGGGCTTATGAATGTAGATCATGTATTTGTTCAAATCCTCTTCTGCCACACTCAAAAAAAAATAGCACTTTGGTTGAACATGATTCAATCATGGACAGTGGTTCCACGTGATTACACCACATTATCTTAACAACACTGAATGATGTTAAACCAACTCGAAATACTTGTGTTTGTTTAACATGAACAAATGACTTTCATTAAACATAACTGAAATATTTAAATTTAATTTAAAATGAATGGTTGTGTTGAATTTTAATTATTCATGCTATCCTTAATTTAATCATTTATGTTAAGACTAAATGTTTACATCACTTTTAATGAATCCCATTTAATCAAGTTACTACAATTAAAGATGTTAATGAATATCATTCCTGTTTTCCCATGCTTCAGTAACTTTCAAAGATGACAGAGGCAGCAAACAATATGTAATAAATCATTTTATTGGGGAACAGCTTACAAAAGGTGCCACACTTTCATAAAACACTTTAACATCCTAATACATTTGTAAGCCTAAAGATTTCTGAACAAATTTGTATAAACAGAAACGTATACAGAAACTTGTTCCTTTAGACAGAAACTCGTGAACTTGCTGCTTCCTATTTGTCCATGACCACATGTGCTCTTAAGGAAAGCAATGTTCAGAAGTTGTTGTTTTTTTACCCTAAAGGACACCTTTTAAGGAGGACAATCATCCTTGGCAACACATTCAAAAGCAGTGCAGCATGAGCGTAACCAGTGGCGGTTCTACATTGAATTACACCCTGGGCGAGACCCCCTTCGAGCGACCCCCCCAAAAAAACACAAAATTCTGCACAAACAGTTATATTTTATTATAACAACATAAGTGAAAGAGATGACGGCAAGGCCAGTGAGCCGTTCCTGGGACATGGTTGACCTCAGGTACGACTTGATCAACTTTAGTTTTGAAAAGCTCCTCTCTGCTTGAGCCACAGTGACTGGCAGAGTAAGTGCAATCCTGAGAGCAGTCCAAAAGTTGGGGTAGATCTCCGATAGATCCTTATCATGCATAAAAGTGATAAGCTCAAGGAGGCTCATGGTCTTTGATGGCAGGTCAGGGAAGTTCTTAATTTCCTGCACAAGCTCTCTACTGTCCAAATCAGAGTGCCCCTTAAAGTGCAGTGTGGTGCCTAGTGCGTCTCATTGCTCTGCCAGCTCCTCATCTGCAAGACTTGGGAAATTTGTCAAAACCCCGAATTTCTTACCCACATTTTCCAATGTGTAAAATCTCTCCTTGATGGCTGACGTGGCTGCATCAACGACAACCCTGAAGAATCCAACCTCCAACTTCCTAAGTGCATCACTGACAGGTTCATCATGTGATTCATATGAGAAGTGGCGCTTTGTGGACCTCAGCATTTTTTGTTTTAAAACAGCCTCCACATTCATATCTTCACAAATGTATTTGGCCGCCATCTGTACAGTCACAAAGCCACTTGCCCTGTAGCTCTGGAGATCTCGCTCAGTCTTCTTCAAAAGACTCACAGCTAGGTATGCATATTAATTAGGAGACTGCATGAGTTTGCTGGCATGCTGTATTGCA